GGGGCTGAACGGCTCGGGGAGCTGGCGGGTCCGAACATCAAAGGCGCCGCCGGCGGAGTGCCGGGGGCGGGCCCCGGCCGACGGGCGGAGCCAAGTGGTCCGGCCCCGCCCCCTCCTCTCCCGGGAGCTGTCCGGACGCGCCCACTGGGCATAGTCTTAAAGGGCTCGCTCTCCTGGCGTGAACCCCTAGTGAGACGTCTGGCGAGCCTGAAAATCGCCACTCTTTTCCTGAAATGCGGGGGCTCTAAAGGAAACTCCTCATTCCCCCTCCTCACCTACAACAAGATATTGCCGCCCCGCGCCCAGGTTTCTCCTCCAGCTGCGGAGGGCGCGGGTCCCCTAAGCCCTCGGGACTTGGGCGTGGCTTGGAGCCGTAGCCTCGGTGTGATCTGCGTCTGTGCCCAGGCCCAGTGCGCCCTGTTCTTTTAACTTGGGGGTTCCTGGGGCTTGGAGTTGCTCGAGACTGTGCTCGGACCCCACAGAGCCGACGCTGTTAGGCCTCCTCAAAGCCCCATCCTACATCCTATGTCAGTCTGGGACCTTTTTCCAGGCCACCCGCACACAACATAAACACAAGCATACACCCCTCGCACATTTATTGAGCGCCTGTTGCATGCGGAGTTCATACATTACTCATCTGTGAAGGGCCCCTCAGCCATGTGACGGCTCCGAGGCGCAAACACAGTCAAGAGGACAAGGAGAAAGGACCCCTGCCCCCTATGCCGATCCTTCAGGCCCCTCCCCATAATTCTCCCAACTCGGTTCGGTGCCTAGAACCTGCGGCCCCGGGACTCCGGGCTTTAGGCAGCCACGTGGGGCCGCGGGATTCCGACGTGAGGTCCATCTCCTTGGCAACTCAACACGGGAAATCGCGTTCCGGAGCCCAGTGACTCTGACGCCGGTCCTAGCCTGGCGCATGCTGCCTCTCGCTATAATCCTGGCTGAAGGATCCAAGCTTGCAGAGTGCGGGAACGTGCTCTGCCTCCCATGGCATCTGCATGGCACCTGGGGCTGTGTCCACGCGGGCCGCCACAGCACTCTTGGCCTCGTCTCAGCCACTGTACCTGCAAAAGACACCAGCTCTTTGGATCACGGTGTAGTAAACTGCTGTACTCCAGCAGCTTCCTGTGCTGGATTCAGCGTACACACTCCCGCCAAGGAGGGGGTATTGGACGCCTCTCCTACTCAGGGCCCCACGGGACCCCTGGCAGCGGCGCAAAGCTGGGCCGGAAGACAGCCGCGCCGCCCCTCCCTGTCCAGGCCCAGCCTGCCTGGCTGTGGATCAAAGAGCCAGTCAGGGCTGTGCTTCTCCGTGTTCAGATCCTATCTGCGCCCGCCCAGCGGGACGCTTCGGCCCCCCACCTCCAGGCTAGGGTGCCCACTTTTCCTTTCTTCCCAGGGCTGGGGGGTGGGGGTGGGGGTGGGCACTAGTGCTCAGCTTGGCCACGGTGATGAGGGGAAGACCCTGCCCATTAGGTCTCTCCAGCCTCCTTCCCCCAGGTGTGAGCTTACTGCTCAGTCTCACCCCATCCCCTCCAGATTGCAGGGATGGGAAAGAGGGTTTCCAGCCAAATGCGGCCCTGCCAGGAGGAAAGAGGCACAGGGCAGGGCTTGTAGGGTCTGACTGTGAGATGAGCCTAACCCAAAGGCTTTGCGGTCCTCCTGTGTTTGTGGGTGACCCTGGCTTAGCAGAAGCCTCCTCCAGAATAGAGGTCTCCAGATCCATGAGGTCCCAGTGGACAGAGGCTAGTGGAGGTTGAAGTTTTCTCCAGTCCCTGGAGAGAGGAGAGAAGTCAGGTCAACACTGAGGTAGTTTTTTTGTTTGTTTGTTTTCTTTTTCTTTTCTCAATAAGGTTAAGTTTTTTTCAGCTTGGTATTAGCCTTTAATTAAAGATTATGGCCTTTCTGCTTTATTGGTGTGAAAACAGCCATTATCTACTAAAATGATGGTGAGAATAGATTTTTTTAATGTCCTTATTTGGCCAAAGAAAATAAGGACATTTTTTCTCATCTGTTCACTCCCCCACTCTCAAGTTTCTTTGGAAATTTTATAGGGCTGTGAAATCCCAAAGTCTGGGAACCTTTGCCCGATGGGGTCATGGCTCCAACTCCTCGCCCTGCTGGGTGGAACCAGGGGAGGAGGTGGGTGAGTAGGGAGAATAGGAGCGTAAGGAAGGCTAAAGGAGGGAGAGAAGGGGTGAGTCACCAGGCATCCACAGCCACATTGAAATCAGTCTGAAGGCTTGCTGTGAGATCATCTACTGTGTTCCTAGCCCAGGGCTCAGGCTGTGTGTGGACAGGGGAAGGTAGAGGTATCCTGCTCTCCAGGACCCACTGGCTGCTTTGAGAAGCTGAGAAATCATTAGAGCTGAGTTAGGTGTTGAATTAGTCTAGACAGACACCAGGCAGAAGGAGCTCAGATAGGGTGAGATCAATGTGGGCTGGAGTAGTCAGGGTGGCTTCCTGGAGGAGACAGATTTCATCTGGTCCTGGAAGGCTTAGGAGGGCTCGGAGAGTTAGAGAGAAATAGGTGCTTGGGCTTGTTCCCCAAAAGGTGGATGCAGCCCTGTAGAAACCCCTGGCCTGGTCAGCATTAATACCATAATCATCATCCACACAACGACGTCATGTACTGAGTACTTACTATGTGGTAGGCATTGTGTCAAGATCTTAACACATAGGGCCGGCCCGGTGGCGCACTGGATAGTGCGCCGCTTGGGAAGCGCGGCAGCGCTCCCGCCCGAGGGTTTGGATCCCACATGCAGACCGGTTCCCGCTCACTGGCTGAGCGAGGTGTGGGAGCAGCACCGAGGGTTGTGATCCTGTTGCCGGTCCCCGGTCCGGTACGGGGGCAACACTGAGGGTTGCGATCCATTGCCGGACACGGAAAAAGACAAAAAAAAAAAAAAGATCTTAACACATATTATCTCATTTAATTATCCCACCCATCCTATAACATAGGGACTATTGTCCCCATTTTACATGAGGAAACTGAAACTCAGAGAAGTTGATTAAGTCACCCAAGGTCTCACAGCTTGAAAATGAGGGTATCAGAATTCCAAACCCAGGCAGTCTGACTCTTGAACCCACACCCTAACTACCATGCTGTAGTGTTCCAATAGGATCCCTAAAATTCCAGAGGGAATCCTTATCTGCTTTGTTGTCTTGGAAGACAAAAGCTGATGAAGGCCGGCCCGTGGCTCACTCGGTAGAGTGCAGTACTGATAACACCAAGGCCACGGGTTCGGATCCTATATAGGGATGGCCGGTTTGCTCACTGGCTGAGCGTGGTGCTGACAACACCAGGCCAAGGGTTGAGATCTCCTTACCGGTCATCCTTTAAAAAAAAAAAAAAAAAAAAAGCTGATGAATGAGCTGTCACTAATATAGAGCCACCAAGAGATTTAGGGAATCACCCTGGACAGTCCGTATAGGGTGGCCCAAGCCTTTTGCAGGGTGAGAGGGCCCCAAGCCTCTCCCCTGAGCCAGACAGACCTCGGCCTGTCCCATCCTTCTCCTGGGCCCTCCTGGGCTGTCTGTTCTGAGCACTGACTCAGATCCCATGCAGAGACAATAGGCCCTGGGATTCTTCCACTGGGTGGTGAGTGGGATCTGCTGTGGCTGCCCCCCAGAAATGACCAGGGAGT